GGTAAACAAATCCGCTTTACTCTGTATGAGTGTTTTCAGCATATCATAGATGGTGCTAGCGTGCTTCAAATTCGTCGTTTTTTTGTATGTGGTACTCCCACATCATGGACCTGCCTTCAGACAGAACACTACTTGATTAATTAATTGAATGCGGAATACGACAATAAAAAAAAAGATAGTGTAATGTTAGTATGGTTAATAAAGTTAGTTCTACTTAGGAGCACAAGAAATCAATCGTCTTAACCACTTAACCATCCACACTTGACCAAACACTGCACGCTTTTGTTTCTCTAGTATTTTATTAATTTATATATTTAAACCAATTCTTCTAGGCCTACAATATTTTAAGAGTATGTTTTTGACTATCAACCTTATCACCATGTGAAGTTTCATCAAAATCTCAAACTATTAAACCTGAAGTTCCCCTTTTCAGTAACTCAAAGTTTGCATGATGTTAAAAATATGTTAAATTAAGGTCTTAAAATCTAATATAGGACAAAAAGGACTGTCTTTGATACAAATTAAAAATAAAAGAATATCATTTAAATATTGTTGAATTATTTTGATGAATAACAACGTTCTTGAGCTAAAAGTAATCAATCATCGATTCGATGTTGAAACAGTTTTATATTTAACCCTTTCCACTCGCTAATTCCGAGATTTATATGAATGTTGTCGCCGGAGCGGCGGCACCCGAATGGTGGGGGTTAAGTTACAATCGACAAAATAATAATATTGATTTGAGTACTTGATTGACTTGATTACTTAAGTAGTTGATTAAATACTCATTTGTTAACTTTGTTCGTCTCTAATAACACACCTCATCTCTAATTACTCGTTTATTGTCTCTAATTACACTCTCTACAATATTCATCTCTATATGAATATTGTAGAGAGAGTAATATTGTATTGACTATTTATCTCATACATAATACCAGGTATTATAATAAATTCTAGTATTATTATTGAGTTTTGGACAAGTGAATACTAGTTTCGAGTTCGATCCCAACCTCGGCTTGATGAGCACAAGTTTGTATAAATGTTGTCACGTATTTCAAATTTTCTGATCAATACTTTTGCCAAAAATAGTCAAAACAATTTAATTAATCATTTATGAGTAAATAGAGAAATTTGTTTATGTTGTATGTATAAATATTTAAATAACATTCTCCAATAATTTGTACAAAAGACAAGTCCCCAAAAATCTTAACATAATATAGGATCCAACACTCGTAAACGAGCCATTATAACTAATTTTTAATTAACAACTAATATAGTCGCAACACCTTAATTATAATAAATAACCTTACTTTTCCAACTATACAAAAACCAAATATCCAAAAACTCAAATTTCCTAATTCACACACTTCAAAAATCCCGTGTGTGGAAAAGGAAAAAAAAACTGCCTCTCAAAGTATTCAGAGAAAAAATATGTTTACGAGAGAGATTTTAACCCCTTCCACTCGCTAATTCCGAGATTTATATGAATTTTACCGCCGGAGAGGCAGCATTCGAATGGAAAGGGTTACATACAGTAAAACCGCGATAAGACTATTGTGGGGAGACTTGACAAAATAAGAAATAATTATTATGAAAAAGACTACATATTCTAGGTAAAATATAGTTCAGAGGCCGGCATAAAGTGATGTATCATGCGAAAAATCGTATTAACGAGGTTCTACTGTAAATTACTATTTGGTTTTATAAATTTGATTTTTGTATAGTTTTTTGTTCTGTGCGTTATGCTAAACTTAAATTTATAATATAGAATTATCACAAGCCTTAATCTAATATAGGAACTTTCACTCGAAATAGTAAACTTCCATGATGATGGTTTCGATAAAACAATTTCCAAAAAAAAAAATAGGTGCAAGAGAAAATCATTACAAATTGATATTCAATATCTTTTCAAATTGTGGCGATAAATACCTGTTGGTTATGTTAAAAAAATAGTTAATTTTAAGAAAATCACGAATGCTTGCCATGTTGTCCGAACCTAACACGACGCTTTTTCATACATTTTTACTTAGGTTTGGATATGCATGGTGAGCGTTAATTCAATTTTTTTTTGGTACAAATGCTTTTAATTTTATTGTTGTGAATAAAACTAGGTATAAGGGGCATTTTGTCTTAGGGCCAGTTTCATGTATATCCTTATGTGTAATAAATAAAAAATCCATATATTGAATTATGAGTATGCTGAGTTGCTACAAGGCCTTATATTGTTAGGAACTAATGCAGATTATTCAATTTTCTTATAGTAATGCTTGAATCGTTTGTAAAAGAATCACGACTAATATTTTCCAAACAGTTTTTAATTTTCCAAAATTGGTTCAGGATTTTTGGTTATCTAGTTTCATCGAATGTCTTCTGAATTATTAAAATAGGTTCAGTCGTTTTGTGACATAACTACGGCGGAAGATCAACATACCTTTACCAATTTTGGTGTCAAAGAATTCAGAATGACTTTAGAAAAAATTAGCAAGTCATATTTTCTGGCAAAATCATAAACCACTTCTTCGAGAAGTTAATTATTAACACATTATATGTCTAGTTAATAAAAATATTTATTTTTTTTGTTTTATCGAAGAATTAACTTCATGTAAGTTCACTATGGCGATGATTGCTCATCGACTTTGCACTTAACCTAAAAACTTAAGCTAAAAACGAGTTGACAGTTTGAAGCACTCAAGAAAAAGACTTGAAAATACATTTTTCTGAAAAACTTTGAAATAGGAATAAAAATCAAACAAATAAAAAATTATGTATCAATTTGTCCTTTCTCACACTTTCTAAAAATTCTGTGTGAAACAGGAAAACTGATCCAAAAAAATGGATAAAATCAAAACTTATGTATGAAAATATACTTATAAGTTTCTTGTAAGAAACAGAACAATTAAAACAAAAAATGCTAAAATGACGTTTTATGTGTAAATTCATAATTTCTCACACTTTTAAAAAATTCTGTATGAAAAATTAATCCAAAAAAAATTGCAAGAATTAAAATTTATAGGTCAATTTGTCCTCTCTCACACTTTCTAAAAATTCTGTGTGAAAAAGGAAAATAAATCAAAAAAAAAAATAAGAAATCAAAGTTATGTGTAAAATTTTCCTTTCTCACACTTTTCAAAAATTGTGTGTGAAACAGGAAAATTAATAAAAAAAATAAAAAAGGATGTATCAATATCTTTTCTCACACTTCAAAAATTATGTGTCGAAAAAGAATATCAATAAAAAATTGCAAAAATCAAAATTTATGGGTCAATTTATCCTTTCTCACACTTTCAGAAATTCAGTGTAAACAGGAAAATGATTTAAAAAAAAATATATTGTGAATTAAAATTTATGGGTCAGATTTCCATTCTCATACTTTACAAAAATTTTGTGTGAAGAGGAGAAATATTAAAAAAATGCAATAATTCAAAATTATGTATCAAATTTTCCTTTCTCACACTTTCCAAAAATTCTGTGTGAAACAGGAAAATTATTCAAGAAAACAAAACATTTGCAAGAATCAAAATTAGGGGTCAATTTATCTTCTCTCACACTTTCCAAAAATTCTGTGTGAAAAAGAAAGAATAATCAAAAGAAAAATATGTAAAAATAAAATATTATGTTCAAAATTCAAATCAAAAATTCTGTGTGAAAAAGAAAAAAAATTGAAAACAAAATGCAATGATACAT